GATTTTAACGAGGAATTGTCCACATAGGTTTATCCTATAAGTAGCAGGATGACTATGCGAAATAAGATCCAATCAACGCACTACTATGAAAAAATGCATTACATTAACATTTCAAACTCTTACAGTAGGTTTACTTCTTTACTACCGTATTCATATTAACAACATATATGATTTCTATCAGGGATCAAATGATCAAATAGCTGGACCAAGAGAGGATACTGTTTTGAGACTATGGGGGCGACTAAACGAGTGTGACAAATTGAACAAAGAGATGGTTTTCAAGTTACCTTGTAATTTCTCTTGATGTTTCTATTCCTACTGTTGATGAACAATGCAAGAAAGAGCAAAATGACGACGTAGATATTAGCGAGCACGAATTCCTCTCTGCCCAATGTGCATACCATCTCCGATTGCGTATCCGACACCGCCAATGTAGACATGAACGGCTCTGCGACCCATCTGAAGTGCGTAGTAAGTTTGGGAAGAAGAAGAAAAGGAAGAAGAAGGACTTACCTTGTATTTAACGCAATCTGTACTCCAATAATAAAGAAAAGCAGCAGCCAGTAGTTCCAGAAGGATATGTGCACAGAGGTGCCAAAACCAAGAGTTTCAGCATTTCGGAGCTGCGTGGCTTTTGCGATCATCACTCCAAAGCAAAGCGAGTAGCCGAAACCGTGCATGACAACACGAAGACGACAAACCTTAACTCGCTCCATTGAAAGAAGGAAAATCAGCAAAAAGGACACAATTCTTACCGCATCGGTAGCGTCGAAGACGAAGAAGTAGGCGGTAATGTAGAGGGTGATGATTCCTACCAATAAGGAGATCCCAAGTGATTGATTACCCTTCACAACCCGGAGGTAGAGTTTGATTAGCACTGTAATAATTACATTTCGACATGGAAGTCAAATCGGAGAGGTGCTATTCATACCAAGAACGAGAACTGCAATGGCAACAAATGTGAGTAGAGTGATGAGTATGAGTAGCACATAATTGTGCGTGTAATTACGCCAACGACCCATTGAAAAGTGTTCGAAGACCTTAATGAAGAAAAAAAACTTTTTCGAAACGGGTTTTTCCTCTAGAGAAACCTACCGACTGATATCCGACTCTGTCGGAGCCAAAAGCTGGCTGCCTCTTCACATATGATCCAGTGCTCATGTCTGCTTCCACGTGATCAGATGGCAGAACAAATGAATCCAGAGGACGCTAAGAAATCTCAAATTTACTTCTAGAACTATGAAATTTGGAGGTATTTCCTTACTTGGAAGAAGTCACCATCGAGGAAACATTTGCACATTGGTGGTTGG